GCCAGGTATGAAGTCAAAGACTTTACAGGACCTTATGTGCTTCATTATTTCTAGCATATCTTTCTTCATATTATGTGGTATGTGTCTTGTGTGATGATCCGGTATCTTATTACATTCATCAAATTGTTGCAATATTGGTGCTATTGTACCGCGAGCTCTACTATATCTCAATATAGCTGCTTGAGACTTGTTTCCTTGTAATCCAGATATACTAAGCTTTATCTCTCAATTGAGATGCTCCATGTGGAGATCTGCCGAAATATTTCTACCAGGGAGTCCCACTGTGTTCACAAAACGATTATAAAGGTGTTCCATCTGATAAGGAGTAAGTGAATTGTTGTAATATTGATAAAGTAATAAGATAGCTTCTTTAGCATAATTGTGGCGATTGTTGTTGTGAAAAATAAGTAACAAATACTTCCAACATTGAAGGACTCATTCACCATCACCTTCTCTTACAGCATCTATAAATTCCAGGTAAATACAATCAGTACTGGGTACTTGCTTTGTATATTCCAATACTTTATCACTCGCATCTCGAGTAGATTTTCCAAGATTGTCATTAATATCAACATATTCTTCTATAAAATTTGTCAAAATACTATCCATTTCTGCCTTCGTTCTTCACTGCAAACCCAAAATTCATCAGTAATCGATGTTGGATAAACATCAGGATCTGTGATATTCAACTGCTGCATGATGGCACCTGTGATAAAGCTTTGGAGGATAACATTGAGAAAATCCTCGCATGCATTCTTGGGTTTCGTTACTACATTTGACCTGTTTATAAGACTTTGCAGCTGATATAACATACCATGTTTCCCTGCTGACTTCTTCCTTACTTGATTCTTTCAAATGGCCTATTAATTACACATGCTTATTTTAAACATCAAATGTAAATGACAACCTCATTCTAATAGGGTCATTTTGGCATGCCAGTCTTCTATGACTGGAACTATTCCATCCATTTTTGAAGTTGGTTTGTCAGAATTTGACTTTGCTAGTAAGGCAGAGTTGCTCTTACTTTAGTGAGGTGATCACCACGAAACATAATGCTGTGAGTAGCAGATTGAAAAACACCCACACTCCCATTGGCATCTTTAACATGAACTTCATTAACAGTCTTATATCTTTGCCATTTTCTAAATCATTTTTCATTCCTTCGTTGTACGCCAAGGGGAACCTAAATGCAACACATTGATGCATATGCAAGCAATTTAAATATATCTTACCACAGTTGATTTTGATGACATTTCAGAATATCTTGTGTTTAATATGCTTTGTAACCAAATCAGAGAAGCATTGCTCAAAAATTTCAATTTTATGACCAGAAATCGCAAAATAATGACCTTGACATTGCTTTTCAAAGCTTCATCATCTGAAGGAGTAGGCAAAAGAGACTTTGCAACAAAATCCCTTGATAGGAGACAGTATGCTGCACGATTGTTGTCTAGATGCCTGTAAGGTATACAATCAGCTACTGCATGAGAATGAAAATAATGAAGAGATTTAGTCCTGGCATCTAGACGCATATAACACAGATTTACTTAAAAATCAATGTTATCTCCAACAAGTTGAAAAAGTTGGCATTTCAACATTATCATATTCTGGTGGAGGAGGTGTAGGTGTATGTACATCTAAATCAGGACACGACAGCGTGGAAAGATGAACATGATCTTCATCATTGCTGTTGTCCTCTGAAGTTTGTATACATACATGTACATCTGAATCAGGGCATGAAAGCAAGGAAAGATCATCTTCATTGCTCTTATCATCCTCATAATCATCATTATTAGTATGTCGTCTATTTCTGAAGGGAGCACATCAACTTCAGACCCATATAGCACATCAGCTGAATTGTAATCATCATTGTCATCTGATTTTCTGATTCGTCTTGAACCTCATGATTAATCAATGTGGCTTGTAGTGTAAGTTGCCTGCAGAAAAATTGTCTTGATATTGAATGAAAAAATTAAAGCTGGGACAAACCTGGTGTGGTAATAAATCTAAAATCCTCCACTTGCAAATTGTATGTCATGGCCCTTTCCCAATTCATTAAGTAAATTAATAACTGTTGTGTGACACAGAGTTCCAGTGGGCATAATCTTAAAAACACCTATAGTATTAGTAACTTAACAGCCATACACTTGCTCTTACCTTTTTAGCACAACAACCAGAAAACAAAATGATAACAAAATTTTTTGAAATATGTTCAGGCGACCAAAACGATACTTCAAAATAATTGAGGCACATATACCTAATTTATATTAGCAATGATACAAAATTTCACAAAATGGTAACTACACCATACCTATCACTGCTCGGCGATTAGACTTTGGGTTTTTAGTATGAGTGGCAGCCAAAAAAAAGCTCAGGAAAGTGGGAGCTACGGTTTCGAGCTCAGAATAAACTTTGTCCCATGAAAAGCATTTCAGTTGCACTGGTGCCTTATAAATAAAGTAGGAGTTCAGTTTGCTTAATCTCTTCAAATCTCCTTTTATTAATCTTACAATATCATTATCAATATGCTTTCTCGTTGGTTTACTTCTCAGACATTCATCTGCCATAACCTTATTGCTCCTCCTTGCTAGGGCTAATCCTTTTCTCATACGCTCAGGTGTCAATACATAAGTTTTCTGACATTGTTCACTCTTGACAACAACCTGTGTATAAAGTGGAAGCATTATGTAATTTGCAATATAAAACATACCGCAACTACGTCTTTGGACTGTTCCTTGTTATGTGGTAGAGAAACACAATTGTATTTTTGACTTGTCTTGATCATTACTTTCTTGGTCTTCACCATCCATTTGTTTATCTTCATTTGAATCATTTGAATCCTCTTCCAGTGCTGAAAAACTCCGTTTCCAAGCCTACTCAAAGCTGCAGTACACAAACAACAACATTTGCCATTGAACTTCTCATCCCTTATCAAAGCATCAACATCAATATCACTATAACCTATCTCCTTAAAACAAAGGACTACCAGCTGCTTCCACTCAGTCAAGGAATCATGGAAAGCATCTCCAACAATACTCTTTCTACTCTTAGGAAATTGGGTAAGGTCTTTCCCACAGGAGAAACAAAAAACAGGAGTAGAAGAAGCTGCTGCCATTTTAATATGAACTTATTTATTGTTAATAATTATCATCAATAAAATAAAAATAATACTAATAAAAATAATAATAATAGCATTAATCACATCATTAATTATTTTGAGCTACACCCACTATGACGTTTACACATCAGCCCCGCCCAAGCCATACAAGTGCCAGAACAAACTCGAGATTCGTGTTGGTCCTGACCCTCCTTGTTGCAAGGTCAGGCCCGGCCTGACTATGGGATTATATACTCACTGTTATTAGCAATCACTTAATCTACCTGTTTCTGATACCATTAAAAAGTCAAAATAATGCAAGATGCGTTAAATATAACTCATGAAATCACAAAACTTATAAAGAATTCTCCTCATAGAGAAGGTTTATTTCAAAGAATGAAAGAGACCTTACCTGGAATGTGTAGTACTGGCAATTGTGTATTGTGTCCTACTCGATGGACTGTAACAGCAGATGCACTTACAAGTATACTCCAAAATTTTCAAGCTTTACAAGAAACTTGGGAGGAAGCAGTTGAAGTAGTACGTGATCCCGAAACAAAAGCTAGAATCCGTGGTGTTTCTGCAGCAATGAAGACATGTGATTTTTATATGGAGTCATGTTGGGTGAAATTATTTTGAGGCACACTGACAATCTAAGCAGAACACTTTAGCAGTGTAGTATATCTGCAGCAGCAGAGGGTCAGCAAGTTGCTCAAATGACAGTTGGAAGGCTAAAATCTCTCCGTAATGATCTTTCTAATCTTGATGTCAATGAGCCACAACTACCACGTCGTTGTAAAGTTACAAGACGATATGATAACGGCTTATCAGAAGGTGACCATCATGACAATCTTATAGGCAAAAGTACTACGAAGATATTGATCTAATAGTGGCTTGCATAGAACATTGGTTAAGTCAACCTGGCTATGCTAAGTATCACATGCTAGATTCAGTTTTGATAAAGCCTGCCTACAGGAAGAAATTGAATCTGATGTTAAGGTAGTTTGTGAGTTCTTACATGATAACTTTGACAAAAATCTCATCGCTCAGCTTCAAACTCTTGGTGTACAATTTCAGGATGATTTGGCAGGTAAAAGTCATGTCAACGTATTTGATATTAAGGATTGCCTTTCTTCACTTACTTCAGGACAACTCTCACTGCTATCTCAGGTTAAACATCTGACACAACTAATTCTTGTCATGCCAGCAACAAATACTTCTTCCGAGAGATCGTTTAGTGCTTTGAGATGTGTGAAATCATACTTATGGTCAACTATGACACAGGAACATCTTAATCATTTCATGCTTATCCATATTCATAAAGAAAAGGCTGATTCACTGGATTCAAAAGAAGATATTAATGAGTTTGTTACTTTTTCGGACGACCGTAAGGCCATTTTTGCTAAGTATTAATCTATGAGGCTTGTTAAAGAGCTTGTTATAAACTTTATTGCTATTGTTAAAATAATAATAGTCATTAAAAAATTATTACATGCATAATACTAAAAGGTACATGAAGATCTAGCTCCGCTCATTTGCCACCATATATTTTACTATATTTTTACAAACCCACGTCATGGCCTGACCACTTTTGAGGTTCTTGTTACAGACCTGGTCGATACAGAACTCTATCAGTCAGCTATTTGTAGTCTTCAGTATTTATCTGTAATGACAAGACCTGATATCACGTTTGCACTATCAAATGTGGCTAAGTTCAACTTGAAACTGACAAAGGAGCATTGGACAGCTGTAAAACGTATTTTCAGATACCTAAAAGGTACTCAGAAATATGGTCTCCTTTATAATCGAATGCAAGAGAAACAACCAATAATTGGATATTCAGACTTGGATTGGGCTGGAGACTTAAACGACCATAAATCAACCTCTGGTTATATTTTCACTGTTGGTGGTACAGCTATCAGCTGGAGGAGCAAGAAGCAGACATGCATGGCACAATCAACCGCTCAAGCGGAGTATATTGCATTGTCACAAGCTGGACAAGAGGTAGTCTGGCCACCCAGACCCAACCCCTGTGGGAGAAGGGTCTGGTACAATGCTTAACAAGACTTTGTGCAGAAGGAAGCCATGAAATTTAGTTATTTATTAATTTTAATAATAGTTAAAAGCACGTGTTGATGATAATAGAGGATGCTTTTGAGTGCTATGATCAAAGTTCTCATGAGAATGAGCTATTTGCCACTAGAAAAGGAACAAAATGACTTGCTTAACACAAATCTGAATCGTGTTCC